GGCGAGGACACCAGTCGACGAACGCCCAACAACGGCAGCATATAATAGGCCAGCCGTGCAGGCGGAAACACCAGTCGGCGGCGACGAAGGCAAGCCGGTCGGTGAAGACGTGGATGCCGAACAACGGCGGCATAATAGGCCAGCCGTGTAGGCGGAGACACCAGTCGGCGGCGGCGAAGGCAGGCCGGCGGTGAAGTCGTAGATGCCCAACAGCGGCGGCATAATAGGCCAGCCGTGCAGGCGGAGACACCAGTCGGCGGCGACAAAGGCAAGCCGGTCGGTGAAGACGTGGATGCCCAACAACGGCGGCATAATAGGCCAGCCGTGTAGGCGGAGACACCAGTTGGCGGCGGCGAAGGCAGGCCGGTCGGTGAAGATGTGGATGCCCAACAACGGTGGCATAATAGGCCAGCCGTGTAGGCGGAGATACCAGTCGGCGGTGAAGTCGTAGATGCCCAACAGCAGTGGCATAATAGGCCAGCCGTGCAGGCGGAGACACCAGTCGGCGGCGACGAAAGCAGGCCGGCGGATGCCCAACAGCGGCGGCATAATAGGCCAGCCGTGCAGGCGGAGACACCAGTCGGCGGCGACGAAGGCAAGCCGGCGGTGAAGTCGTAGATGCCCAACAGCGGCGGCATAATAGGCCAGCCGTGCAGGCGGAGACACCAGTCGGCGGCGACGAAGGCAAGCCGGCGGTGAAGTCGTAGATGCCCAACAGCGGCGGCATAATAGGCCAGCCGTGCAGGCGGAGACACCAGTCGGCGGCGACGAAGGCAAGCCGGTCGGTGAAGACGTGGATGTCCAACAACGGCGGCATAATAGGCCAGCCGTGTAGGCGGAGACACCAGTCGGCGGCGGCGAAGGCAGGCCGGCGGTGAAGTCGTAGATGCCCAACAGCGGCGGCATAATAGGCCAGCCATGCAGGCGGTGACACCAGTCGGCGGCAACGAAGGCAAGCCGGTCGGTGAAGACGTAGACGCCCAACAACGGCGGCGTGACCAACCAACCGTATAGGCGAGGTTGATTTGCATGTAGATTCGTCTCTTTGATTTTGTTGACATGATGGGCTTGGTGCAGCTAACCGGCCTTAGAGGTTGCGTGTGGTATGAGCAAACGCTACATCGGTAGTCGAGCCACGCACTATGTCCTAGTGTACCCCTCTCGGCAACATGGTAGCAGTGGGAAGCATTGCACCGACGGCCGTACATGCAATAAAAAATCATGAGAAGATTAGTATACGTTAGTAATTAATCTAAATATATAAATTACAAGGATGCTAGGAACCGGCAGCACAGCCAAATCCCATCACTCATTAAGGAACGATTTTTTGATCTCGATTGCCAACCTGTGCATGCGACCAACCATCGCTCCAGTATACATGCAAAACAAATAGATATAGTTTGATTAGCCTTAAAATATTACACGCTTAATTGTGTAATGCATATATCAAGCTAGGGTTTGATATTAAGCCGTGCATATCAGTTGATCAACACATGCACGTGAAGCACTCAGTCGCTGTTGATCCCATGGACATGAATTGTCCCCGTGTCGTATGAAGGTTACGCTGGCGCCTGTACAGATCGTACCAGGCGACGAGCAGACACACCGGGACTTCGTCTCGATCTCAGCCGGTGCGTGAAAACAAGAAAAAGAAAAGTAATAGGATATTAGTCTGCAGTTAGAGAATAATCTAACTAGTGAAAACGACAAAGCCAATGATATTAATTGGAGATCGAATCGATGAAATTGCCGAGATTGATCCCTTCGACTGGATTGAATCCGAGACGAAAAAGACATGCTTGTGAATCCGGCGATGTCGGAGATTGGTTCCATCACACTTGTGATAGGAAACTCGATGAACCCCTACATGGCGCGCCAACTGTCGAAACATGAATTCGGCAATAATAAAAGGGGGTAGCGCACGAGACCTAAAAGTGGATGAATGCGGAGACAAGGATTTAGACAGGTTCAGGCCCTCTCAATGAGAGGTAATACCCTACTCCTGTTTGGGGATTTGAATCCGCCGAGTGTAGTATGGATCTAACGATCTAGTTGTGTCTCATGCCCCTAGAGGGCCTCCTGCCCACCTTATATAGGATGGGGGGCAGGATTATAAGATAGAAACATTATCCAATACGGTATCGGTTTCCTAAATCTACTTTACAATCCTATCAAACCAGGACTTTAGGCCGTTCCGTAATATACAAGGAAACGTAATACCCAAGTCATAATCTGTTACATATTCCATATATATAAGTTATCCCCTATAACTAGTCGGATAACCATGCCGTGTGGGTATGGGGTACCCATAATCTCCACAGATATGATATTAATTTATTTTCTTTTATCTAATTTTGAATTTTTATTTTTCCTAATGTTCACCAATTGTATATTTTGTATGCACGTATACGATAGAGCAAGTTGTTGTTCAACTTTTTTTTTTTTGAGAAAGAAAATATTGAGTTTAGATGTAGGAAATGAGAGAGGACTGCCCGCCAGTGCGTAGCAGCTCGATACTTCTCTCTTTTTTAATTGACCTTTCAGTCCTTTTCCTACTCCACTAATCCGGTTGGAACAATGACAATTATGACCACCTATAAGGATTATACTCTTAAAAAACCATTTTTAAGACACCCCTCTCGAGATGGACCAAAAGAAGCCCCACATGTGAAAATACATAAGGCTCCGCTGGTGAAAATTATATTTTATAGGTAGTCCTATTTTTATACGAGCCACTTGTCTGTGAAAATCTTTTTTTTTTACATACAAGATCCTGAGAGGCTAGCCTGTAAAACATCATCCTTGCAAAAAATAGTGGACAAGTATAAAAAAAATGAGCGAGGAGCCGCTCCCCCTTACCATTCCATCAGCAGATCAATCAACGCGTACGACAATAGCAGACTTCGAGCAGAACGGACTTCGAGCATGGTGGGCTTCGTGCAGCGGTAGCCACGGGAGCAGCAGATCCACCGGCGGCAGCCTCGAGAGATGCATATGTGAATTCGCTAAAATGTCACTCTCAAACAAAAGATAACATATTACGATTCCATTCCTTCCAATTTTTTTTACTCAATTTAATGAATTTTACAACATTTGTCTTGCTGAACTGTTGATGTAAAAACACGAGGCCTGGGAGATCTGCTTAACTCCAGTGCAGGTCCAAAACTTGCCTTTGGGTGTATGAGCGTGCCAGTTGATTTGATCCTTGAATCAACAAGAAACAAAGACAGAGAAACCGTGGTTAAATCCATAAACGATAGCCGATCGGCTAGGTGCCGATGACATATCATTTATCCTTGGGTCGATGTCATATATGAATCGATCGACAGTTATTAATAGATAATAAAGAACTAAATCTACTCGATCGGCTGTAGATATTAACAATATATAATCCTTATGTCGATATATATTTAAATCAAGTGATTGGGATAGATCGGTCGCCATGCCGAAACAGTATAAATCACTTAGATCGAAATATATATTAACAACAAGACTATATATATTCATAGCATAGCCAATCAGATAGATCCAGCATGTATCGGCTAATACTCCGATACCACTATATATTAAGATATTAAAGCAAGTAGAATATACCAAACAAAAAGCCTAATATACTTAAATGCAACAAGATCTTAACATGAATAGCAGATTTAACATGTCAATAAAGCATACAAGATAAATATAGTTAAATCAGATAAGATCGGCTGAAACTCCGACACTACCCTAATCGGCAACCAAAGACAGGCTAGAGATTGAGATTCTAATCACGACTCATAAGATCAAACTCAACTGATGCAGCTATAAGTATGAAAAGAAGGACAATATCTAGACAATCAAGTCGTCGGATGTGTTATAGAGTGGTGGATATCCTATATAATATAAGTCAACATCGATATTTAACCTAATCGGCTGCCTTCTACTGACAGATGTTAGCCAATTGTAGGTTAGATAACGATATTGCCGGAGATTATGTAAGATATATGATAACTTGACGAATTACATAAACAAGATTAGAGTGTTATAAAGATGGGAAGCACTAATCCTGAGAACGCAAGCCGCCATAACAAGTTTTACCTTTTGTTAAAGATCAAAACCGATGCAGCTCAACCCGAAAGCAAGAACTCGTTGAAATAAAACGAAAGTAAAAGGGTGGCAATGCGCCGAGATTGTATTGAACGTGTATTAGTTTGATTACATGGGACTCAGGTATATTTATACATATATTTATACGCGAGAATTACAAAATATGTCCATATCGGACATGACTCTTATCTCTAACAAACTCTAAAATACCATAAGTTTTTGCGGCAGACTTTTGCCCAAACATATCTCTAAGGAAATTACATAAAATATCCTAATTAATAGATACAATTGCCTTCTCAGGACTCTATCCATGCGTGGCAATCATCATGAAGCACATCAACCTAACCCGACAACATATGCAATGTTATATTGTCGAATTCGGCTCGATCGGCTAACCCCGTACGACTCGAACTCTGCCGATCTTGGTCGTATCCGATTCGGACTCCAGCCGATCTTTACTCTGTTTCCAGGACGATCTCCATCTCGAATTCCACCTCGATTTCTTCTTCATCTCCAATTCTTGGATTACCAAATTTGGTCGTTAACATGAGCTGACCAAAATATTTCTTTGGATCTCATGTCTTCCTATCACATTGTACCACCGGCGAGCCACCGCCGCCGCGGCTCCTCGCCATCCAACCCTGTCGTATCAGGGCAGCTAGGCCTTATACTACGGCCTCTTCGAGGTAGTGTGTCCGCGGCAGAAATAAAAATGGCATAATATCAATTTTCTAAAAGAAAAAAAAGAGGCAGGGAGAGTTATATTAAGAATTAAACGAGCAGATAAAAACTAAGGAGATAAGAAAAGAAAATAAAAGGAGTCGTTCGAATTCGAAATTCGTTAGAGCTCGCATGCAATGCATGTCGTACGTGGGCCGGGCCCACCTCCCCCCTCTATAAAGACAGCGCCCAACCCTCTGCTACCCAAACCCTCCGATTCCAGCGCCGCCGTCCTCTCGATCGTTCTGGTGGCGCCTCAACTTCTCTCCGGCGGCTGCGGCGGCGGCGCGGCGCCGTGATTTTCTAGGTCGATCGACCCCGGCCGGCTGGCGGCGGGCGAACGTCAAGTGCAAGACGATGGCGGCGACGGCGTCGTCGACGGCGGATGCGCTCGAGCAGATCAAGAACGAGGCCGTTGATCTGGTGAGGGAGAAGCTAATTATAAGCTGCTAGCTGCTGCTGATTGATCGTGCAAGTTCAAATGCTAGGGCTTTTGTTTTGTTTTTTTGAGAGTTTTTTTGTGGTGAAGTTTTGTTCGTGATGGAACTTGAAAGAAAACTAGATTTTCTTTTTCTTATACTGATGATTTTGTTGTATTTTTTGTTCTGGTTGTTTTCTCGAATGCAACTAATCTTAATTAGCAGTAGATTGATCTTGACTAAAAAGAAGAGTTAGAGACGGTTTGAGTTCTTGCGGTGACATTAATTGCCAGAAAAGAGAGAAAGCAGATCGAATCTGATTTGCTTCACGGATTCAATCTCCTCTTTCGTTCATGTGATCAACCAAAAAAAAATCTCTCTTTTTTGTTAATCTGCTTTAATTCACGAGAGAATTAGGATGCACTACTCCCTCTAGAGCTAGCGCAAGCTGGCCCATGCAATTCTTTCCTTTTTTTTCTCTCTTTCGCGGCTTTTACTGCAGCTAGCTAGCCAACCACCTACTCATAATCATCGATTAGTTTTTTTTGCCTCTCTTTGTTGCAAGATTTTATCTGCAGGTTAATTAGTTTTAATCACATTGTCAATTAATCTATGTTTGTAACTTGCTAAATCGATCTATCTAATCTAATCGTCTTCCATCCATGGCAGGAGCACATCCCGTTGGAGGAGGTTTTCCAGCATCTGAAATGCACTCGGGAAGGACTCACCAACGCCGAGGGCGACGCCCGCACCCAAGTCTTCGGCCCCAACAAACTCGAAGAGAAAAAGGTCCAATGTTTGTTCTTGTTTGATCCTTAATATATCATTATCCAAAGTTTCAAATGTTCATATAAAAGTAAACTCAAAATGTTCATTATTTTCATTAAATAAAATTCAATTGGATATGAAATAATTATCGTTCAAACATTTTAAAAGATGAATCTTGAATATATCATCCAAAGTTTCAAATGTTCATATAAAAGTAGATATCCAAATGTTCATCTAATGATATTATTTTCATCGAACTAAATTCAATTTAACATAAAAATAATTATCGTTCAAACAGTTTAAAAGTTAAATCTTAAAATACATGCGCAGCTTAATTATTTAGTGGGGCGGAGGGAATGGTTGTTTGAAGATAATCGATTGATCTTTGGAGTGGTGGTGTAACATGATTTTGATTTGATTTGATTTTGATTTTGACGATGAGCACAGGAGAGCAAGATACTGAAGTTTCTGGGGTTCATGTGGAACCCGCTGTCGTGGGTGATGGAGGTGGCGGCGATCATGGCGATCGCGCTGGCGAACGGCGGCGGGCGGCCGCCGGACTGGCAGGACTTCGTCGGGATCATCGCGCTGCTGTTGATCAACTCCACCATATCCTACTGGGAGGAGAGCAACGCCGGCAGCGCCGCGGCGGCGCTCATGAAGAACCTCGCCCCCAAGACCAAGGTGCTCCGCGACGGCAGGTGGTCGGAGACCGACGCCTTCGTCCTCGTCCCCGGCGACGTCATCAACGTCAAGCTCGGCGACATCGTCCCCGCTGACGCCCGCCTCCTCGACGGCGATCCCCTCAAGATCGACCAGTCGGCGCTCACCGGCGAGTCCCTGCCGGTCACCAAGCTCCCCGGCGACTGCGTCTACTCCGGGTCGACGTGCAAGCAGGGGGAGATCGACGCCGTCGTCATCGCCACCGGCGTCCACACCTTCTTCGGCAAGGCGGCGCACCTCGTCGACACCACCAACCAGGTCGGCCACTTCCAGAAGGTGCTCCGCGCCATCGGCAACTTCTGCATCGGCGCCATCGCCATCGGCATGGCCGTCGAGGTCATCGTCATGTACCTGATCCAGCACCGCCTCTACCGCGACGGCATCGACAACCTCCTCGTGCTGCTCATCGGCGGCATCCCCATCGCCATGCCCACCGTGCTGTCAGTCACCATGGCCATCGGCTCGCACCGCCTCTCTGACCAGGGCGCCATCACCAAGCGGATGACGGCGATCGAGGAGATGGCCGCCATGGACGTGCTCTGCAGCGACAAGACCGGGACGCTCACGCTGAACAAGCTCAGCGTCGACAGGGGCCTCATCGAGGTGTTCGTCCAGGGCGTCGCCAAGGACGAGGTGATCCTCCTCACCGCCAGGGCGTCGCGTGTCGAGAACCAGGACGCCATCGACACCGCCATGGTCGGCATGCTCGACGACCCCAAGGAGGCACGCGCCGGCATCCGGGAGGAGCACTTCCTCCCCTTCAACCCCGTCGACAAGCGCACCGCCCTCACCTACGTCGACCTCGCCGACGGCTCATGGCACCGTGTCAGCAAGGGCGCCCCCGAGCAGGCAACCCACCCTCATCCATGGATCCCGATTCGATTCGATCTTTCGTCGCCGCCATTGCTCACTTGCTTGCTTGTTGATCTTGCAGATTCTGGATCTGTGCAAATGCAGACAGGACGTGAGGAGCAAGGTGCACGCCATAATCGACAGGTACGCCGACCGGGGCCTCCGGTCGCTCGCCGTGGCGAGGCAGGAGGTGCCGGAGAGGAGGAAGGACGGCCCCGGCGGGCCGTGGGAGTTCGTTGGCCTGCTGCCGCTGCTCGACCCGCCGCGCCACGACAGCGCCGAGACCATAAGGCGGGCGCTCCACCTCGGCGTCAACGTCAAGATGATCACCGGTACACCTCAACCCACGCCCAGCTGCTTTTCGTCGAACACATGGTGGGTGTGCAAATGCAGTCCGTGATCCTGTGATTTGCTTGCGTTGCCATTGCTGGTGCAGGTGATCAGCTCGCCATTGCCAAGGAGACCGGGAGGAGGCTCGGGATGGGCGTGAACATGTACCCCTCGTCGGCGCTGCTCGGCCAGAGCAAGGACGAGTCCATCGCCTCCGTCCCCGTCGACGAGCTCATCAAGAAGGCCGACGGCTTCGCCGGCGTCTTCCCAGGTACACGAATTATTATGCATTCTCAAAGCCGCCATGGCCGGACTTGCAGGTTCTCAAAGTCGCCATTGTCGTCTGTCTTGTGGTGCAGAGCACAAGTACGAGATTGTGAAGAAGCTGCAGGAGATGAAGCACATCTGCGGGATGACCGGCGACGGCGTGAACGACGCGCCGGCGCTGAAGAGGGCGGACATCGGGATCGCCGTCGCCGACGCCACCGACGCGGCGAGGAGCGCCTCGGACATCGTGCTCACCCAGCCTGGCCTCAGCGTCATCATCAGCGCCGTCCTCACCAGCCGCGCTATCTTCCAGAGGATGAAAAATTACACGGTACAGCATTTGTCTTGGCTGCATTCAGAATGAATTTGAGAGCATGAATTTCTCGATCAGAATCATCAGAGATTGATTTTTTTTTTTTACTGATGATCATTGTTTCCATGTTGTTTATGATCTCTCCAGATTTACGCGGTGTCGATTACTATCCGTATTGTGGTAAGTAAACTGTTCTTGCTGCTATTCCTTCAAGGATCTCATCAACCTGACCAACAATGCCATGAAATTCGTCTGAAAATTTTCCCCTGTTGTCAATCTGAAGCTTGGATTCATGCTGATTGCTCTCATCTGGAAGTTCGATTTCTCACCGTTCATGATCCTCGTCATCGCGATCCTCAACGACGGTGAGTTCTTGAACACAACAAAAATTGAACTTCTGATCCACACACACACACACAATTTTAGCTGATGTACCTGATTGATGATGCAGGAACGATCATGACAATATCCAAGGACAGGGTGAAGCCGTCGCCGCACCCGGACAGCTGGAAGTTGCCGGAGATCTTCATCACCGGCATCGTCTACGGCACCTACCTCGCCGTCATGACCGTCCTCTTCTTCTGGGCCATGAGGAGCACCGATTTCTTCACCGTAAGCAAACAATCAAACAAACAGATCCAAAGAATCCTCAAAAACCTTTTGATTCCACTGCTCTGATCGAATTCAAATTGAATTTGGTTGTGTGCGCAGAGCACGTTCCATGTGAAGCCACTGATGGAGAAGGACGAGATGATGTCGGCACTGTACCTGCAGGTGAGCATCATCAGCCAGGCGCTCATCTTCGTGACGCGCTCCCGCAGCTGGTGCTTCGTCGAGCGCCCCGGCATGCTGCTCTGCGGCGCCTTCGTCGCCGCGCAGATCGTAAGCATCTCGATCTCCATCTTCTTGTTCTTAGCTGCTGCAACTGCAAATGCCAATGCCATTGCCGCCATTGATGGACTGATTTGGTGCTGCAAATGCCAATGCCATTGCCGCCATTGATGGACTGATTTGGTGCAGATCGCGACGCTGGTGACGGTGTACGCCACCTTGGGGTTCGCCCACATCAAGGGCATCGGCTGGGGGTGGGCCGGCGTCATCTGGCTCTACAGCATCGTCACCTTCCTCCCCCTCGACATCTTCAAGTTCGCCGTCCGCTACGCCCTCAGCGGCCGCGCCTGGGACACCCTCATCGAGCACAAGGTAACCTTGCCATAACAACAAACACCTTGCCTGCATGTGTTTTTCTCCTCGCGGAATAACTACAAACACCTTGCGTGCGTGCGCGTGCAGATTGCCTTCACGAGCAAGAAGGATTACGGGAGAGGGGAGAGGGAGGCGCAGTGGGCGACGGCGCAGAGGACGCTGCACGGGCTGCAGACGCCGGAGATGGGGGACCACCTCGGCGGCGTCGGCGGCGGCGAGCGGAGCAGCTACAGGGAGCTCTCGGAGATCGCCGAGCAGGCCAAGCGCCGCGCCGAGGTGGCCCGGCTGCGCGAGCTCAGCACGCTCAAGGGCCAGATGGAGTCCACCGTCAGGCTCAAGGGCCTCGACATGGACAACGTCCAGCACCACTACACCGTCTGAAGTCCACCGCCGGCGAGCTCGCTCGCCGGAGAAGGAGGAGGCTCCGCCGAGCTCGCTCGCCGCGGCTATTTTCAGGGGCAGCGTGCATGCAATTGAGCCTCTCCTCGTCGTCGTCGTCGTCTGTAATTCCCTTTTTTTTATATTAAATTTTAAACTTTGGTTTGAGGTCTAGTGGTTAATTGAGTTGACGGTTTGAGGGTTTGAGTTTGTCCTTAATTTGGGGTTCTGCTTGAATTATGACCTGGCATTACCTCTCATTAGATTTGTGGTTAATTTCCTCTAATTGCTTGGAAATAATTGAGTTGTTACCGTGCTTTACAGTACTTGGTATGAAGTTGTTGAATCTAATAGTTTCCCTTTGTTTGATTTGGGGAAACTATTCTAATCCCTCGATGGGATGTTTCCTCGTTTGCTTAAAAATCATCTAAACGGTTATGAAAAATTCTGAAAAAATTTGACAACATTCATACAACACATATATTCAACTCCAACTCAACTCACACATCGAGATATAAAAAAGACAAATTCAGCGTATGAATAGTAGCATACTGTTTATATCTAAATTTGTCTTTTTTTTTTCTCGATGTGTAGATTGAATATGAACATGATTTTTGGTGAACTAATAGATATCATTATACTCTACATTCTACATTGTTAATTTTTTTCAGAATTTTTCACAACTATTTGTATCGAATTTGTAAGAAAAAGGTATACGAGGGGATATCTCCTCGAGGGATTAGAATCCACTCCCGTCTGATTTGTATTACTAGTAGTCTCTGATGTGTTGTTTTGACTGAATGACGATGATTTGATTCATCCTGATCCAAATTCAGATGTTTTTCATAGTTATCTTTGGTCTCTCATGCATGTATATGTGCATTTTCAATACAATCAGAAAGAAAATGTGTATCTTGTTTAAATAACAGCCCAAATCATTTTTTTTGCTGAATATTTCTCGTCGCATTTTTTTTAGCATGAACAAAGTAAATCTTGTTTTAATCAGCCCAAATCATTTTATGCTAAATAACCCCCATCGCGCTTTATAGAGCATGAATAATGCTTTGACGACTATTGTATATATGATATTTTCATATAATATCAGGCCACATCTATATGGTTTGATAAAAACAGATAACCAAAGTTTGTTTGTTTTGCTTTTTCAAATAGATTCATATACTCCCTTGGTCCCCAAATATAAACATTTCCAGTTTTATCTTAATTCAAATTACTCCTTTGACTAATTAAGTTTATAGATAAGAGTATTAACATCTACCACAAATCCCCTTAAAAAACATCTGCCACATCAAACAAGTAAACTACAAAAATTTATTTTATATAGTAGGTATGTATAAATGAAACTCATTTTCGTTCAAAAACAGAGTCCCTACTTACACGCCCAATACTAGGAAATCCCAAACCCTTTTTTTTTTGGTTCTCCGGAATCCGGATATACGAGCGAGATTTGGCTCCCAATCGTAGCTGCAATTCCTTTGCACGCAGGAGAAGGGTGCATCATAAGAATCTATTGCGCGGCCACTTGGGAGGGGTCGTAACCAGGGTTCACAGTTCTGACGAAAACCGGTCGAATTCTGTGAAATTTCGACACGGCTCGAAATTAAGTTTCAATTGGAATTTCGAAGGTTAAACATTATATTTGGTCAAAATTCAGTCAATTTTTATCGAAAACCGATCGAAATTTATCGAAAACCGTGATACCGATGGGGCTCGAAATTTAGTGCTCAACCGGTAATGTAAACCCTGGTTGCAACATGCACACGACAAGGACAGGATAGATTGATTTTGTTGGTAGTTTTTCAAGGTGGCCCACTTTCTATTTAGAGATTCATATTTAGAAAGTCTCTTGGAAAGAAGGGTATTTTGATGCCTTAATTTTTTGTTAGAGAATCACAAAAGGAGATTTAAGGGATATATTTTTGGATATCTTTTGGTGATGCTCTAAGTCAGCTTATCTCTATTATTATAAAAATCAAAAATGTTTTTGCCAGTATTTTGGTACGTCATCCGTGTATGAGTCGGTTTTTAAGTTCGTTTGCTTTTGGAAATATATATCCGTATTTGAGTCGGTTTTTAAGATTGTTCACTTTTGGTAATATACAAGGAATCACATAAGCAATATGTTTTAAAAAACTCGCATGCTAACTTGAGACGATCGTATTCCTAACTGCAGCTCATAATTTTCTAAAAATATATATATCCAAGCAAACTCACACAGTGAATTTTATCTTAGCTAAATCATATAACAATAATAAGATTAAAATAGACTTCACCTGTTACAACGCATGGGCATTTTTTTCTAGTAAATTAAAAAGTCTAAGTCTAAACAACAATCAGTTTTTTTCATTTGTCTTTTTCAAATCACTAGCAAAAATGCTCGTGCGTTGCAACGGGTGAAAAAATTCTAATGATAATATACGTTTTTCATACATAATCATGTCAATGACAATGTTTGATTTTAATGAGCGGCTTGTTTTTTTATAAACGGTGTTTTTTTTCTTGCGCGATTTTCTCAAACCATTTTTCAGAAATAGCGCATTTCTTTCTAACAGTTTTTTCCTAGCATGTTTTTTCCTTTTTTTTTACTGATGACGAAAATCATATTTTTCTCCCCTTTTTTGTTTTTCTTTTCTCGCGTGTTTTTTGCCTATTTTTTCTGACAATTACGTTCTCATGTGGTTTTTTTTGCCTGTTTTTTCTGAATGTTATTTTTTGCTTTTTTCCAATACATGAGAATATACGGCAAAATAAAAGCCGTGTAGTAGATGGTAAAAAATCGATGGATCCTATCCGACTTAAGCGTCCATCAATTTAGCTTTTTTCTGACAGTTTTTTCAGAGCGATTTTTTTTATATAGATAGTGTTTTTTTCTTGCGTGGTTTTTTCGAACCATTTTTTTTAGAAATGGCGCATTTTTTCTGATAGTCTTTTCCTCGCATTTTTTTTAAAAAAAATTTTGCCGACAATGGAAATAATTTTTCTCACGCGTTTTTTATTTTTTTAAGAAGATGGAAAAACCTTTTCAGCGTGTTTTTTGCGCTTTTTTCTGATTTTTTCCTCACACGTTTTCTTTTACCATTTTTATTTTCTCGTGCATTTTTTATTTTTAAATAGTTATATTAGATTAGAGATAGAGAAGAGATTTACTGATTAGAAATTGGACTTTGTTTCGCCCTTTCCAATTTTTTTTCTCACGTGCATTTTTTATTTTATACGAACCATTTTTTTGCCACTTTCTTAAAGAATCGGATGAACTTTTTTAGATGTTTTTTCGGATTTTTTTTTGCCTTTACAGGAATCAGACTTTTTTCCCGTTTTTAAAGGAATTGGATCTAGCGTTTTTTTTTCACCACTTTTTTTTTTTTTTGCCTTTTATAGGAATTGGATTTTTTTCGTTTGCATCTACAGTTTTTTTTGGGCTACTTAGGGGAAATAGATTTTTGTTGTTGTTGTTTTTTATTTATTTTCTTTTTTGTGTGGCTTTTCTTTTTCTTTTCATGCACCTTTCTGCATTTGTTCTATCCCTTTTATTTATTGTTTTTTTTAAAAAAAAGACCAAAAGCACCTTATTGCAAGATTATAGGGACTCAAATGTAAATATAAAAATTACAGGGACTCAAATGCAAATGTACAAACCCAAAATTTAAAATCATATAAAAATGGAATGCTCTCGACATGTAGGTTCCGTTTTTGCAAACAGATCTTTAATATGGCACATCAATTTTTTTTTCACCAAGATGTATGGAATATCACGGTATAGATTGAAACCGAGAGAAGTGATGCCTAGTATGTCGGACTCAAACCGAGATGAGTGGGACTCGGATCTAGAGTCAGACTTTTTTTTTCTAAGAGGGAATCGCAATAAGGAGTCGGACATTTTTTTTAATTTTTATCTCTATTTTTTAGGGGACCGAGTCGGACTTTTTTTTATCGCTATTTTGTTTTTTATTTTCTTTTTTTCACACGTTTTTTTTCGCCCGGTTTTTTTTGTATCGGACAATTTTGGTTTTTTTCCGCCCGGTTTTTTCCCCTTTTTTCTAGATCAGACATATTTGGTTTTTCTTTTTTTTTCGCACTTTTTTCGCCCGGTTTTTTTATCGGACAAACTTGGTTTTTTTCGTCCGGTTTTTTTGACGGATGATGGAAGCACCTCTTATTTTTTAAGTATTAGAGATAAGTACTATTACACTGATAATCCAAAAGTTAAGTTAAAAACGTTTTTTTCCTCATATATGAGGTAGAGGTATAATTCCATCATTAAACTTGAGACTATAAATTCATCGAATTATAAATCATACAGGCAAAAAAAAAAAAACAACTTAAAAGTCTAAGTCTAAACAAAAGAGACCCTACATGTTACCAACTTTTACAATCTAGTTTTCTATGCACATTTTTCTCAAACTGCTAAATATTGTATTTTTAAAAAAAAATCTAAGATAATAAGTTGCTTTTAAAAATGACATTAATTCACATGCTTCTCAAACTGCTAAATATTGTATTTTTTTAAAAAAAAATTCTATGATAATAAGTTGCTTTTAAAAATGACATTAATTCATTTAAGGCTTCTACAGCTAAGACTTAATTAATCGTGTGCTAATGAGACACCCTGTTTTACTTGCACAGAAGAGTAGTTGTCAACCTTCTCTCCCGAACACATCCTAAATCTGCCCCATGTCCCAAGTCTCAATTGTATCTGAACAACGAAGTAAACTGATACTTATATGTTTCTAATCCTACTCCGACATGCTAGTTTTTTTTTTCCATTATAGCACGCAAGTGTGTAACACATGCTAAAGAGACATAGATCAGTAATAAATTTATTAGTCTTTTTTCTCGATTAACGCACAAACTTAGCTACTTGTCTAACAGACGGTTAAAGAGACGAATGACAAATCCCTAGTTTAAAAGACAGAGTTCGGCAAAACCTGGTTTTACTATATTCATGTTATTTTTTCCCCGGATACATGCAAGTGCGTCTAACTCACAGTCAAAGAGAGAAGTGGCAAATCTCTATTAAAATACACATATATGTGTGTAATATTTGTGAGCACTCGGATTTACACTAAAGTTTCTAAACTAGTCCTTTCTTGAATTTTTATTACTTCGTATATATCGTCCACATAGATTTATATGTGCTTGGTTAATTTGTTTGTTTGTGGATCTTGATTTTTCATGAATTTTACATGCTGTTGTTCGCATGTTTCTGAGAACATCGATCTTCATTTGAGGTGTTTATTTAGTTTTAGAGTTTTGTTTTGTAATGTTCAAATATCATTTTTGAGATTTTGCTTGTGTACTTTAACTTTTGCTATTGCATATGTTCACCTTTTCCA